AGGTTAAAGGAACTCTATGTTTTAAGCAAATAATGCAAATAAATGTGCACGTGGCTTTACAAGATTCTTGCAGCATATTTTCTTTACTGCAAAGAACAAGAAAATGACAAGATTGACGTTTCTACTTCTAATACAATCCCTTCACTGGTCACGTTATCATGTTACAAATATTATCATCTGATAAGAAGTTGGTAAGAATGTTTTATTTTTTGGTTAGGTGGCTTTCAGGATCCTTGTTCCCTGACTAGGGATTGAACCCAGGCCATCAGCAGTGAAAGCGAGGAGTCCTAACCACTGGACCATGAGGGAATTGCCAAAAAGTTCTAAATTATCAAGACTATGGATTTACATTGCACATTAATAATGTCCACTTACAACGTACATTTAACAATGATGTTCCTCATTCTAAGTGTATGTCGAGTCAGGTGGCACTGACGAATATTTCAAAACCAGCATGATTAATGTCATTTAAAAATTTAATATCCAGAACATGAAGACAAGCCACTACAATTTTTTCAATGCTTAAAGTCATGCAATATTCAATTACATAATTTACAAAATTTCATTAAGGAATGATAAATACACACCTTGAGGTTCTTAATTAAATGGCAAAGACAGAAAGCCATAAACCATTATAGAATCATTTTGTCCTGCTGCAGTAATAAAAAGGCTGAAATAAAACACAGAAGTGACATGGCGGCAGCATAATCCATGGTCCTGTCAGCAAGTGCTGTTGGAGGAAGGTGGATTTGAAGAAACAAGCAGAAAGCCATGTTAGACTATGTTTGGATGAAGTACAACCCAATTTATGGTACGTTGTTTTGTTGTTGTTTAGTCACTTAAGTCGTGTCCAACTCTTTTGTGACCCCATGGACTATAGGCCACCAGGCTCCTCTCTGTCCATGGGATTTCTCAGTCCAGAATACTGGAGTTGGTTGTCATTTCCTTCTCCAGGGGATCTTCCTGACCCAGGGATTGAACCCATGTCTCCTGCATTGCTCAGACGGCAGGAGACCTGGGTTCGATCCCTGGGTTGGGAAGGTTTCCTGGAGGAAGGCACAGCAACCCACTCTAGTGTTCTTGCCTGGAGAATCCCATGGACAGAGGAGCCTGCAGGGCTATAGTCCATGGGGTTGCAAAGAGTCGGACATGGCTGACCGACTAACACTCCTACACTGCAGGCAGATTCTTTACCAATGAGCCATATAGTATTTGCCAATTATTTTAATCAGGAAGTACATAACTACTTTGTTTCTTTTAATCAATCCCTGTGTTCTGGGAAAAGATGTTTTCAACAAATAACACTAACTCACATTCACTGAGCTCATTTGTACTGGGCATTGGTGTAGCTTTAGCATCTTTCCCTGTGGTCACTCACTCCTGATGCAACAGGCTAGTGCTGTTCCACCCCGTTTCTTCAGATGGAGAAACTAAGGCACAGAGCAGTTATGCAACCTCCCCAAGGTCACCAGTCATTAGGTGGCCAAATTAGAAAAAGCATCATGAGATTTGGCTTCAGAATTCCCACTTGTGACATGATAGCTACCTCTTCAATTTTATTTGTATTTTGTGGGAAAGAATGTAGTATGCAAAATCTGGGAAATGTAATACTTTGACTGGGGAAATCAAGTCAGTCAGTTTAGTCGTTCAGTTGTGTCCAACTCCTTGCAACCCCATGGACTGCAGCACGCCAGGCTTCCCTGTCCATCACCAACTCCCAGAGCTTATTTTTTCAAACTCATGTCCATCGAGTCGGTGATGCCATCCAACCATCTCATCCTCTGTCATCCCCTTCTTCTCCTGCCTTCAATCTTTCCCAACATCAGGGTCTTTCCCAGTGAGTCAGTTCTTCGCATCAGGTGGCCAAAGTATTGGAATTTCAGTTTCAGTATCAGTCCTTCCAATGAAAATTCAGGGCTGATTTCCTTTAGGACTGATTTCCTTTAGGGAAATGAAGTATCCCCAGATAAAGTTTGGCACTAGAAATCATTAAGCACAATGCTACCAAATATCTCCAACCAACAGAGTTATTCTGGTTAGAATCAAAAACATTTAAATACAAATCTTCACCATATTTTTAAATAAGGCAGGAAGTACCCAAGAAAACATTTCGTACCTCGCAGAGAGATTCATCCTGTGACAAAGTATTTAGAGTTGTACTTAATGATGTTAAACTGTTTTCTGTTTTTCATTTTATTTAATTAATCTACTTTTGGCTGTGTTGGGTCTTCCTTAGCTGTGCTGGCTTTTCTCTAGTTGCCGTAGCGGAGGCTGCTCTCTCGTTGAGGTGTGCGGGCTTCTCTTGTTGGTGAACATCGGCTCTGGACACATGGGTCAGTAGGTGCAGCTCCCGGCTCTAGAGCGCAGGCTCACTAGTTGAGGCGCATGGGCTTTGCTGCTCTGCTGCTTGTGAAGTCTTCCCAGACCACAGATCAAACTGGCGTCTCCCGCATTGGAAGGCAGATTCTTTACCATTGAGCCACCAGGGAAGCCTTTTTGTTTGCTTTTTAAGCTAAAAAAAAAAAGCCTGTTCCAATTTGCTTTCTCTAAAGAAAACTATGCTGTGGAGAAATTTGAAAACCAGCATCTGGAAAGTTTTCCATTAGTAGATAATTCTGCTATCAAAAGTGGTGTCTCACCTGAAAGACCCATTTGTATACTTAAACTTGGGAGTGGAATTGGTAGATAGGATTGGAAATTAAGTATTGTACTGCTAAAAGGCATGGCCAAAGATAACTTCTCCCATCCCAGCCTGTTTTTTGCAAGGTCTCCCTTCCAGCTTAAAAAAAAAAAAGCTTTATTGAGGTATAATTGACATATAATAAACTGAACATATTAGAAATGTACACTCTGATAAGTCTGATACATGTCAGGCTTACACAACCCTGAAACCATCACCACACTCAAGAACTCTTTCAGCTTTGATAGCCATGAGATATAATAATGAAACAAGCAGGCTTTAGAACTAGACTTTCTAATTGCTCTGCTGCAAAGTGTTAGGACATGATTTGAAAATAAGGTGTGGCACAGCATAACTCCCCACTTCTTAAGCACATAACTATGTCCTTCTAGGGAGGGGAGAGGAGAGAGACTCCACAGCGGAGAAATTGACAAATGCACCTACAGGTGCGTTATTAAGGCCAAGATAGTGGAAATCATGCGGACAGCTCATACCGTTGACATGCTGTGATGAGCATGGCATTTGGCTGTGGTCTTCCTTCCCAGTAACACACAACCGTAAGGTCTTATCATGATAAAAAAAAAAAAAAAGTGTAACCAATCCTGGTAGAAGAGCATCCCACAGTATGCCTGACCTGTACTCCTCAAAGCCATCAAAAAAGAGGAAAGTGTGAGAAAATCTCTATAGTCAAAAGGAGCTTAAAGAGACATGTTTTCCCAAAAGCTTTACTTTTGTTTTAGGTTTGAAGGATTCGTTAATAAATCAAACCACTGTTGCACACATGAACAATTTTCTATGGAAGATTATGACCTAATTTCAATGGACTTCCCTAGTGGTTCAGACAGTAAAGCGTCTGTCTACAATGCGGGAGACCCGGGTTCGATCCCTGGGTCGGGAAGATCCCTAGTCATTAAAAGAAAAGAAACAACAGACAAAAGTAATAGCACACACATTACCAATTTGGGCTGACCAAAATCCAGAATTAAGCAGCACTGCTAAGTCCCTTGTTAACAGCAATTTGGAGTCCCATTTGGGAAAGGCCCCCTGGGCAGTGCATCCACCTTTCGGCGAGACTTCAAATTGCAGTTCTGGGGGCTCCTGCCTATAATCCCAGGATTATATCATCATCAGATGGCGTACAAAAAATGCAGCTTTACAAAGCTGTTTCACAACTTTTGTGAGTCACAAGAATTCTTAGACCTCAGGGGATTGGCGAGAACTCCAGGGGCTCAAAAGAATTCCAAGACCCACTCCCTTTCTCATCTAAAGTGCTGCCTGATTGCTGTGCTTGCAGGTGAGCGGGTACAGAATCTGAGCAGAGTCAGAAGCAAAGTCAGAGGCCTGCTCTCCTGCTTCTGAAGCCTGAACAAGACTTCCTCCATTTTGACTTCCCTAACAAGACACACCTAAAAATGTGATATCCTGGGACAGAGAAAGGACATTGGGTAAAAACTAAAGAAATGTGAATCATCTATGGACTTTAGTTAGAGGAAGAATGAAAACAGTCGCTTTGCTTCCACTGAAACGAGTAACATTTCACTAGACCTGAAAGGCTTTGTTCCTTTAATAAATAAAATTTGAGGGGGAAATTTCATCTTTTTTATGCTTCCCAAATTTCCATTTATAAGTGCATATATATACTTTTTAAATGACTAAGACACATATTTAAAAGGTTTTGGAGTGCTGGTAGGTGGGAATGTAAATAGTGGTGGTGCAACCACTATGGAATACTGTATGGACATTCCTCAAAAAAGTAAAAATAGAAATACCATTACAAAAAGGTTTTATTGATGGAGATTGCTGCTGTAAAGAAAGAGCCACTGCCTTAGTTCAGCAGACCTGGGTTAAGTGGGCCGAGACCTTCCGGAGATTGATCAAGAAGCCTTGCTCCACCCATTTCAAGGATGCTAGAAAAATGTTTTCTGTTTGGTCAAGTCCTGTCCCCTCCTCTGGATACCTGGACCACGCCCCTCAGGAAGGCACAGCTGTTGTTTGTAAAGGCCTGCTGGACCCAGTGCCCACAGAGGGCAGGAGAGACACCATTTCCCTTTGTTCACTGAAGCTAAGAGGGCACAGTGCCAGCTGGCTCTGTTTTACAAGGACCACTTCACCGTTTGTCCCAGAAAATTACTGCATACCCCAGACTTTGGCTCTGTGCAGGAGCATGTGAGCTGGTGGCTATGTGTCAGCTGTGAAACGAGGGTGGGACGGGGAAGCCACGGGGCCTTCTGGTTCCTTCTCTCTACTCTCAAGTGTCCATTTCTAACAGTCATGTAAGGCCATATGTTCCTTTGGAGGGGACCCCGGGGCCTCCCCAAATATGAGCAACTCATCACGCCCCAACCTCTCTCTTAAATCAGAGCAATCAGCGTCGCAGCAACTGAAACCAGAGGTTAGTGGGACACCTGGGCCGGGCCGGCTCAGACCTGACTGCCAGGTTCTGATTGTCACTGAGAGCAGACACGGGAGGTAGGAGGACCTCACGCCAAAGTCCTCAGGTGCTGCGGGCGCCGGAGGCCGCCAGGAGGGGGCGGGCCCCGCTCCCCAGAGGCAAGGCTGAGTCACCTGCAGAAACCGGGAGTGGAGTGAGTTTCTCCTAGGACGGCGTGGGGGAAGGTGCCGCCAGGGAGCGGAGTGGAGCTGGCTTAGACGAGGCTTGCTGCCTTGCCTATGCTTCCTTTTTTTTTTTTTTTTTTTTTTTAATTTACTTACTTATTTGGCTGCACCAGGTCTTATTCGCAGCAGGTGGGATCTGGTTCCCTGACCAGGGATTGAACCCAGACCCCAGCATTGGGAGCACTGGACCACCAGGGAAGTTCACATCTCCTTTCAAAATTAAAAAACTTAAATCTCCATAGAGCTTCTACACATCTAGAGTTCTCCATCATTCCAGGGTGAGGAGGACACGGGAGCCTCGTTGCCAGGACATTCAGATCCACCTTCAGCTCCCTCTGCACGGACCCCCTCGGGGTAACAGAACCCACTGCTGTTTCACCAGTGCCCCCCACCCCGCGTCTCTGAGACCCACTGTCAATAGGGGCGTGGGTGATGGACACTGGTGCTAAAAGCTGGTGAGCTGGACGGGCCCTGGCTGACAGGCGCCGCGTGTGGGGTGACTCTGGCCTCCACCCCCGTTTCCCAGGACCGACATCCCCTGGGCAGGAGTTGTCATTCCTCACCTCTGTGTGTAAGACAATAGCCCCCTGTGAAGTCCAGACAATAAAATGAGGCAACACATTCAAAGCAGCCGGCAGATGGCAGGCGCTGACCCAAGCGAAGCAGGTCTGTTAGATTTGGGAGGGAATCCTAATGAATGCAGACCCACACATCCCAGCTTGTATTGCTGAGGGCCAACTGAAGACACCCTTTGGAATTCAGAGACACTGGCTTCAAAGAAACGAAGTTTCTATTTCCCCAACTTCCTGGCAGCAGTTGTGAGGTCCATGCAGGAGGGAGGGGCACATGGGGACCTGCTGATGGCAACAAAGAACCAGCCTGTTCAACTGGTTTGTCCCAAGGCATTTCCTGGCCAGAGGCTCATAAAACACATACCCCCTATTCCAGTATCTAAAGAAAATGCATACACCATGTATGTGCACACATGCACATGGATACACACACAGACATGCAGTGGGATCCTGACAGCACCATATAAGTAAAGCTGCATCACACTCTACTAGGGTGAGGACTGCTGAGATCAGCCCCTGAATTTACTCAGGAGCAGGCGGAAGTTAGAAAGACTTCCATCACAGTGAAAATCACCCCCGGGCACAATACACTGAAAGCAGGTGTTGAGTAAACAAACCTCCTTCAATGAGAAAACAGTGCCTGCTAGTGGCAGGTTATTTAAGAAATTCAGAAACGAAGGCTGCAAACCTTTCTTAAAAATTCAGCCCCAAGCTCTATTCACCGTTGCCAGGATCAAGAAGAAAAGTTTCATGTTAATAAACAATTGTTATTTTACTGCACCAAACCCTTCCTTCACTTTCTGATTTACTTTTTTAAAATAATCATGTAGTTTATTCTTACGTTTGATCAAATGATCACTACACATTTATAGGAATTCAGACGGTAAAGAATCCACCTGCAATACAGGAGACCTGGGTTCCATGCCAGGGTCAGGAAGATCCCCTGAAGAAGGGAATCGCTACCCACTCCAGTATTCTTGCCTGGAGAATTCCATGGACAGAGGAGTCTGGAGGGCTCTGGTCCATGGAGCCACAAAGAGTTGGACGTGACTGAGCAACTAACACTTTCATTTTCAAAGAAAGTCAAGAGCTCAAAAGGAAATAGGTATTTGAAGAACAGTATGAGATCCCTTAAAACACTGGGAGTAAATCTACCATATGACCCAGAAACCCCAGTACTGGGCATACATCCTGAGAAAACCACAATTTTAAAAGACACATATCCCAACACTCATTGCAGCACTGTTTACAATAGCCAGGACATGGAAGCAACCTAGATGTCCACTGACGAATTAATAAAGAGGTTGGGGTACATATACAAAACAGAGTATTACTCAGACGTAAAAAACAGAACAAATTTGAGTCTTGGTTCTAGTGAGGTGGATGAGTCTCGAGCCTGTTACAGGGCGAAGTCAGTCAGATAAATACAGTATATTAACGCATATGTATGGAATCTAGATAAATGGTATTAATGAACCTTTTGCAGGGAAGAAATGGAGATACAGATGTAGAGGATGGACTTGTGGACACAGTGGGGGAGTGAGTCAGTGGGACAAACGAAGAAAGCACCATCAAAGTACACTATCCTGTGTAAAAGAGACAGCTGGTGGGAAGTTGCTATATAACACAGGAACCCAGGCTGCTGCTCTGTGATGGTCTAGAGGGGTGGGATGGGAGAAAGGGAGGAAGGCTCATGAGGGAGGGGGCATGTGTATAATTTCCAGCTGACTCGCACTGTAGTACGGCCAAAACCGACACGACGTTGTAAAAATTAAGAAAAAACAAAAATAATAATAATAAAGGAAACAGGCAAGTTAGAGAAGGAATACTTTAAAAATCCTAGTGCACAAACTCAGATGGACTTGTCCTCATAAAAAGAAGAAATGTTGTAAGAAATATTAAGATAAAGCCAGCAGGGCACTCCCAGGCAGTCCAGGGGTTGAGACACTGCAGGGGGCACAGGTTCGATCCCTGACAGGGGGACCAAGATCCCACATGCCACCAGGGATCAAACATCCCACATGTGCATCAAGGAAGGGAGGGAGACGTAGACAGCAATAAAGCAAGCAGCTCTTATGGAATTTAAAAACATAATTACAAAACTCACTAGAAAGGTAACAATAGGCAAAGGAATCACCCAGATTACAGACTATAAGGAAAAAGAAGCAATCAGGGGAGTTTTAACTAGTTATAGTTTTAAAAAACATAAAATACAGTGGAAGAAATCATTACAGCAATAATGAAAGATTACTTCTCTGAGATCAAAAAAGTCACAAGCTTTGAGGTTGAAGGAACTCTTCCTCTTTTTTTAATTTTTTAGATGAAAAATGCAACTCAAGCCCAGGAGTCCAGCCCACTGGACCAATTCCTGCCTCCGCCGAGTGATCAGTGACCCTCCAGAAAAGGAAGCCACCCGCCCTCCGGGGTGGAGGGTTGAAGCCATCACCAACGACAGTAATGCCAGGCCAATGACACACGGAGTCCTGGTGGAAGTTAAAAGTATTTATTGATGTGTTTAAACTCTGTACATTCTCCACAGATCAGATTAAGGAGTTTGTAGGTGAAGTTTATCTGTGCATAGTGGGAAGAGACATGGATGGGTAAAGGGGAGGAAGAAAAAAAACATCACAGGGAAATAGAAAAAAAGATACACCACAGGTTACCAGAACCTTCTGAATCAAAAAAAAAAAAAAGGAAAAGAAGCAGCTGTGAGCAGCAACATCAACTACACAAGCATCACAGAGACTCATGTGAACGAAACGAAACTTTTGGAGCTTCCATGGGGTCTACAGGTCATTTCGCGTACAGCTTGGAACCTCCACCTTCCACAGAAAAGCAAACCTCCCCGGTCCTCCCCAGGCCGCTGGCCGTCTCTTCTGCCGTCTCCTCCCAGTGGATGGTGCGGACCAGTGCCTTGGCGGGGGAGTGGGACCGGGAATTACCCAGAGAGGAAAACAGCACATCTGGACATCACTTGGGAAGGACGTGTGTGGTCAGAAGCTACGGTGAGTCAACGGCAGACAGAGGAAGGACGTCAGGTACCAACGACAGGCTAATTTCTGTGGAAGAACTGGATTGAGAAGGAGCGCAGCAGTGGGCCTGCTCTGCACACACAGGCTTGCGGAGAGATGCTGAAGCGCAAATGCTTGCTCTGAGCGCCTCTCTGGTGACAGGACTTGTGTGAAGACACCCTGGTACCCAGCGGTGGGAGCACCAGACCTCCGAGAAAGGGTCCTTCAAAGGAATTTTGAGAGGGGATGGTGATGTACTTTAAGGACCAATAATTACGGCTCCTGATTCGGCTTCTCAGCAACCTTCTGAAAGCCCATTTAAATGGAATACTGCCTCTTCTTCTTTTTTTTTAAATAAAAACCAGGACAGTGAGCCTTAAAGAGCTGGTTTACACAGTGCAGCTGGAACAAACGGCCTGCATGTAGCATGTTCAGTCTATCATTGACAATCAACATTTCCATTTCAATAGAGAGCATGTGTGAGACGATACAACAGAAGTGAGATTCCTGATTAATTTAAAAAAAGAAAACTACATCAGTCAAATATCTGCAATAGATCATTTGTTCATTTAAGGTTTATATATCATATATTGTTATATTAACATTTTTTCGCCCATTTAAAAGAATGGAAATTGTGACTCTACAGTAGTACTTTATAGTCTTAATGTAACTCCAGGAGATCTGAGTGTCGAGGAACTCCTCTGGAAGTCACTGTCGGTCCATCGTCCATCCAGACCTCTGGACGTCTGCTGCCCGCCCAACCTCCCTCCACTGGTGCTGCGCTTCCCCTGCTTAAATCTGCATCTGCTCCAGGTATTTGTAGGTTGGGTTTTCGTAACCATGGTTCTGCATCTTGCTCAGGTGACGCTCTTCTGGGGTGAGCATCGGGTCGACCTGGAGGAACAAAGATAGCGGTCACTGTGTGAACGTAGGAGAACATGCCAGGGTTGTCAGAAGACATGAATTGTGTGATCCCCGGGGATCATGAGGATGGACCAGACAAGAGCAGGCGGTGAGGACCCAGGAGGAGAAGAAAGAAAAGAGGGTCAGGGGGCTTCCCTGGTGGTCCAGTGGTTAAGAATCCGCCTTGCAATGCGGGGGATACAGGTTTGATCCCTGGCTGGGGAATTAAGATCCCACATGCCGTGGAGCAACGACGCCCACACGATGCAACTACCCTCGCGCCCCAACAAGAGCTCTCGTGTTGCAAAGACAGATCCCACACGCCGCAGTGAAGACCAGGTGCTGCAACTAAGACCCGACGAAGCCAAAGAAATAAAAAAGGACAACGGGGAGGTATAGGCACAGGAGCTGGGATGGAGAGCTCCGCTTCCAGTGGCAGGGTCTGGGGAAGCGGCAGGAGCACCACGCTGGGCTGTGAAGGCGGCCAAGAAGCCCCTAAAGTCGCCCAAGAAGCCAGCCAAGGAGATGGACGAGGAAGGTAAGGCATTCGAGCATGAACAGGAGGAGGAGCAGAAGACACTTGAAGAGCTAAAAGGGAAGGTCATGGCGAAAGGACCCCTGGCCACAGGTGGAATTAAGGAATCTGGCAAATAGTAAGCTGTTCCTTGTGTCCGAGGCAGTGATGACCCTTAGTTCCATTCCTGTGCAGACACCCGCATTTCCTGCCGTAGCAGCTGCTACACCTCTGGGCAGGATAAAAACTGTCCTGGAACATTTTGTACATTTAAAACTTTTTATAAAAAAAAAACGCAATAATAAAAGAAACAAGGGTCAGAGAGGCCAGCCTCCTGAAACCTAGAGTCCACGCTGGAGGGAGCGGTGATCTCTGCTCGGCTGTGTCTACAAGGGGCGGCCTGGGCGAGGGCGAGCCCCGCCAGCAGCCAAGACCAGATGACCTCAGGTCTCCTCCAGCTCTGGAATCCTACCCCCTGATCGGTGTCCAGCGGCAGGTGAAACCAGAAACTAAGTGCATTTGCACTGATTTTCCCAAGCGCAATCTGTTCCTTACCACGCTCATCTTCTGGAATCAAGACACCATGGGCCTTCCCAGCACCCACTAAAAACTAGTGCTAAGTAAACAGTTCTGAATACAAATGAGCAAAAGATGGGTCAGAAAACAATCTGGTCTGGCTTTTTCTGAATTTCCTGCTGCTTTTTTTCCCCTACTGAAAAATAAGAGTGTTATTCCTCTTTCAGATTTTTAAGACTCGGTTCACTCACACAGCCACTGTTACCTGATCTGTCCTATACCTACCTGGTTTGCTCCTTAGAAAATAAGTCAAAAGAAGCAAACTAATAATAAATAGATATGAAAAAGTTTAAAAAACCAGTATTAGCAGTCCTTCATTCTCAAACATCTAATGCTCCTGAAAAAAAAAGGCAAACACTAAGGAAACAATTTGAGAAAACCATTTTCTCAGCATAAAATGCTCTTACGACTTCCTCACATTCACAGTCAAAGCCCAAATTAATGTTAAATGTTGGTGACAGCCCTTGTGACTGGATCAGCTTAATTCAGCGGGGGCTGACTGCCAAGACGGGAGCCGATAACACAGTGATTAAGCTGATGCTCAGGTCCTGTCCGGCTCATCGATGGCTCACCTCCACGATGCCATGGCTGATGCTGCCGTACTGCCTCCTCCTCAGCATCACGAGGCTGATGACGATGATGGTGGCGATGGCCACCGCGATGACCAGCAGGCCGATGAGGGCGCTGCTGCTCAGGCTGAAGTCCTCCCGCAGCGGCCCTACAGACTCCTGCAGCAACAGAACAGACAGGCCACAGGGTGTGAGAGGCGACAAGCCCACAGGGGCGCCAGGACCCTGCTGCCCAAGTAACCACCCAGGTGGGGAGGGCCCCCATCCTTTCCCTCCAGGGACAAACCCAGGTCTCCTGCTTTGCAGGCTGATTCTTTACCATCTGAGCAACAAGAGAAACCCAAGAATATTGGAGTGGGTAGCCTATCCCTTCTCCAGCAGATCTTCCTGACCTAGGAATCAAACTGGGGTCTCCTGCACTGCAGGAGACTTCTTTACCAACTGGAGCTATCAGGGAAGCCCTTCCTTTCCCTTCATGGGGATGCTAATCTTTCCTATCTGAAAGTGCAGGAAAACAGGGGGCGAGGGACCTTGATGACTTAAAGTAGCAGGCGCTGCCCCGTCCTCCCCCTGTACCGAGCGGGCGGGAGAGGAAACCGGCAAGGCTGACCTGAGACCTGCCATCAGGTTTTGCAGCAAAACACATACCGGTTCTTCCTCCAGGCCTCCGACTCTCTCAGCATTGAAAATCATCTCCTTCACGTCCAGGGTCTCATCAATGACCTGAAACGGTGGGAAAATGTCACCCACTGAGCGGGAGGGGGAGTTTGGCATATAGATAACTACTTCTTTGCTGCTCCGCATACCATTTGGTGGAGGGAAACAGACACTGGATGGACACCCAGTAAGCCATCAGTTCTGCCATGTTCACCTAGGTCCCCTCACCAAACCCCTTAACAAAGCAGCAGGTGTGGTGCAAAATTACTGTATAGCAGTTGGTCTTTTAAGAAACAGCCTCTCACATTTGTTCATACCCTTAGTTGCAAATATTATTTTCCACTGTAGAGCAAGAGATGAGCTACTGCTGAAAGAATTGCTCCGTCTCACACTCAGATGCTGAAGAACAGAGCACAACTGTGGGGGCAGTGGGAGCCCGCCCTGTGCTTCCCTATGGGCTGGGAAACGCGCAGGTCCACAGGGGAGCATCCGGTCGTTCTCTGAGTTAACTGGGACATGGAGCAGGGAGAAGAGGCTCACCATGTTTTCATCCACTTTCTTCTTGCTGTTGATCACCTTCTCCTCGGCCCCGATCAGTCCTCCGTCCTGCTCTCCCAGCGCGGATCCTGTGTGCAGAGAGCGCAGCTGTCTCCCGAGGTGGGCTGATGTCACGTCCGCCTCACGGAAGCGGCAGACTCCCTCCCGAGGGTCAGGGAGCCCCCAGCGCATGCCCCCACCCCCGGCTCTCGATGTGCTACTTGCTCCCAGCCTGGAGGATGCGCTATGCTCCACAGGGATGAGGGACACAGGACCGATGGGTGTCATGTGACAGGAAGAGGATGTGGTGCTCACTGTGTAAGCCTCCAGGAGAGAACGCGCTTTGAACTACAGATAGAAACTGGGTCCAAAGGCCTTCCAGCATCACAAAACCCTCGACCCCTCTGTGATATCATCAAGCACCTACTAACCCCTTGCTCCTTTGCCACTGGGGCTCCGAATGGAAGAACTGTCATCCCTGGACGCCCACCTCGAGCACCATCTTTCTGCTGAAACACCCTCCCTCCCCTCGTACCTGCCCATCTGTCCTTCAAGCTGCAGATCTTTTGGGGGAGACATTTCCAGGTCATGGTACTTAAAAGTCACTGTGTGTGATGACTGGTCTTGTTCTGTCTTTCACTACGCTGTAACCCTCCTGGGCCTGGATCAGACCATCACACCCTGAACAGGAAGGAGGCATTCCCTACACAGGGAGAACTCTAACACCAGGCTGGACGGCACCTCTCCATAAACAGAGCAAGAATGTCAACTGTCCTCTTGTCAAGGTCAGACATCGCCTGAGCCAGCGTCACCTGCGCGTGGCACTCTGAAGGACAGCGAGAGGAAGAGTGAGGTGCAGTCCTCTAGTTTTAGCTCTAAAGCATGTGACTTCTACCTCTCTTTTGAGTGTCTGGTTAATAATAACAAACACAGTGCTATACAGATGCCTGTGACCTGAGCCTTTTACAAATAGATCAACCTGGCAACACACTCGGCATTCTAAGGCGACCATGGCAGGTGAGTCAGATGCTGATATGGGTATCTACAAAGCTACTGTCCATGGGCTGCCAGAGGCCCGGCCACAGAGAGCTCTCCAGCTCACAGCCAAACTTGGGCTGGACCCAGAGCCTCCAGTCACTACACTACACTGCAGCTTTTGAACCCCAGGCTAGATGACATTTCACTCATGAGAATACAGCCAGAAACCAGGCAACTTTCCCCCCAAAGCTTCCATTTTAAAAGAGTCACAACTTGATTCGAGGGCCAGTTAAAGCAGGGCTGGCTTCTGTAGCCTCAGAAGGTCAATGAAATAGTAAGGCTATATTTCAGCGCACTGATGCTCACGACCAAGCCCAATCAGTTCGAACTGCTCCTCCCATCCCTCTCTCTCGTCAGAATTTCAAAGGTCCTAAGGGCAGGATCCTATTTGAAAAACGTGGCACTGAACCAATGGACTTAAAGCCCTACTGCCAGTGCGCAGACTGTCCTAACACATTTTTGGTGGTACAACCCATGTGTTTCTTAAATGCTGACCAAAACCACTTTGGTCATATAGAATGAATAATCAGGTGATGTTAAGGGACCAAAAGTTAACATTTAAACTATTCCAGTGAATAACAGCTGAAGCATAAAGGTGAAAGCCAGTTAAAGACTTTTAGAAAATTCGTCTTCATCTAAACACATGCGCTGCTCAGAAGAATGTCCTCCAGTGACGGAGAGGAACATCCAAGGGAATAAAACCAAGCTCACACACCCTTGTATTCTGAAAAACAACACACACACCACCTCCAACCCTTCTGCCAGGGCACAGCACACAGCAGTCAGTCTGTGTGTCCTTGTTGACAGAGACTCTGGAGGCTGGGCCACCCACCCACCCGGAAATGCTGCAGCCACACTGCATTCCATGAAATAGAAGCACCATGGACTCAGAAGACTTGAAGAAGCCAGGTTCAAATTCTGGCTCCTCTACTTTTAAGCTCATGACTTAACTCATGGAAGCTGAGGATTCTTCAACTGCCTTATCTAGAAAAGAAAGTTAAGACCCCTATCTCCAATGTGTGCAGTGGGTTACATGAGATCAAGGTTGCAAGCATGCAGCCTGTGCCCAAACGCAGTTAACTGTCTGAAAACTGGACACTTATTACATCAGAAGTTCACTTGTCTCAACCTGTTTCATCCATCAGCTTCTACTATGTCCTAAGGGATGCTACATCTCAGGGGACATGAGACAGCTGGAAACAGACACCTGGGCATGGATGAAAAGCAAGGGACAGCTAAGAAGAAAGGCAAAAGATGCAAGTGGGAGCGGCAGAAAAGAGCGGTAAAATAAAATGACTCTCCACCTGACCACAAGTGTGTTTTTAACTTCTGCCAGCAATTGGCAACTAACCCATTTAAACTGGATATACTTTCAAGGTCCACCCAGATTAAAAGGGTTTATGAAGAATCTACTTTGGTTGCTCGATATTCAGGTGCCGGAGGTCTGGCTGCGCCGGCTCCCCTCACAGCCACATCTGAAGGGATGAGGTGGAAGAAGTTAGTGATGGGATGAAGCAGAGCATGAAACTTCTGGGCAAATGCAGGGGATGAAGGCCTTAGAGGGAACATCTATGACAAACCAACCTTTCTTCATTGGGTGGTACAACTCCGGCTGAGAGTCTAGCAGAAAGGAAAGCAACAAAAACAAAACAGCACAAGAGGAGATTAAGGAAAAAAAAAAATGCCTTCTTTCAAAATTCCTACCTTAGACCTTCTCTGTAACATAAACAAAAAGCATGCTTCCTTACAAAAGGGGCCTGCGCTTCCCCATAAGCAAACAGCATCATGAGAGCTACAGCAAAAGACTAGAGGGGAGGTAAAGAAGGCAGGCGGTCTTGGGTCTTTTGGGGTGGGGGTGGGGGGCTCCTGTGAGATTTCTACATCATTTAGCTTAGCCCCAAGTTATCTTTCTGAGAAAGTAACAGAAACACAAGTTAGTCCTGGTCGTGGTTTTCCAAGGAGACAAGGTCCTAGTTCACAAATGTCTAAGATGCCCCTGCCAGTAACAAGCTATGAAGCAGGGACCCTTGCAGCTCCGTGGGTGAGTGAGGTCCCCATGAGCTGGGGAGTGAGGCTCTTTGTCCAGCTCCTTCCTCCGATTCTCTTGTACTATCAGAGGCTCAGCTGTTCTGAGTCGGCCCCTCTGAGACAGTTGGTTTAGAAGACTCTTGTGTTTGGGGTCTGGAGGCCGAAATGGATGCCTTCTTTCTCGGGCCTCCATGGTGGCATCACTGGATCTGGGCCCAGGACTCAGGACTGCCTCAACTCAGGCTCCAGTCCTTCCTCCCCACCTATGACCTATGTGACCCTCCACAGACACTGACCCTCTTTAAACCCTGGATCCCCCAACAGGAACACTTCCAGTCCCTTCCTGAGAGCATTGTTTTGGGGAAGACAATATACAGGAGAGCACCCACACACAGAGGCTGGAGTGTGTGGAGGTCCTGACAGCGGTGGCTACTGTTTTTATCATCACCGTCATCAGCCACGACAGCAGCAGACAAATAAATGGAAGCTGACTGCACACCCTGGCCTCAGGGCCTGGGATCGGCAGCCTGTTTATTTCTGGTACAGACGCACGGCTCTGAGAGCCCACTGCAGACCCGGGAAGCAGCAGGGAGCCTCCCATCGCCTACTTCCCAGGACCAAGAGGCAAAGGCAAGGACAGCTGAGGACACCAAAGTGCTATTTAAGCTGCAAAGGGGCCTCCACGTCTCGGCCTCACACACTGGAGGCAGCTGGTGGACCTGGACAAGCTTCCGAGGTTCTGAAGGCACCCCAGTTGGAAGATGCTTGGTGGACCCCATCCCCTGGCCTGCCCAAGCCATATAGGGAACACAGCCCCCGACGCTCCCACCATGCCCTCCATCTGATTTCCATTTTCTAACCGTGTCCCTCCCTGCCCTTGGTCCCACTGCCGGGCTGGCCCGTTCTGCACACGCACCTTCATTCTCAGGCAGGGATGGGAAGGGATGGAGGGGGCGGAACGGCGGGATCTCGTCGCTCTCCTCAGAGCTCACCCGCACGTCCACGGGGGCTTCTGAGAAGGAGGAGCTGAACTGGTCCATGTCGGCTCGCTGTTCTTGAAGCAGTTCATCTGACAAAGACAGACGCCCAGAAGCCATGTTTTCAGAAAGATACTGTTTCCTGGCACGGGACAGCCTGAACAGGACTAATCTGGCCGGATGCAAGCTCTGCTTAAAGGGGAGTCTCACCAGTTCACAATTCAGGCCACAGCCCGTTCCTTTCACCTGAGGGTGCACCCCTGACTCTGTAGACTGCAGAACCCCAGCACTGGGAACCCCCGGGCTCCTTCCTGAGCACCCCTCTCTCCTCTAGCAACTCACTTGGATGAAGTGCTTTCCTCCAATGACACAGTGGTAAATACCATCCATGGATCACACCCCCCACAGCTGTGTCTCGCACCTACAGCCCCGGGCTCTGGCTCATCCACCTGATAGCCGACCACTTACTATCCGAGGGCAGTTTCCATTTTAACAAGTGAAGACCATGCTTTACCTCGGCACTATCTGGCCCCATCACTCACTCAGCTGCTCACGAGAATCAGGGCATATCTGGTGCTTTTCTTCCCCTCACCCCCTGCCCCACCCACCCTATCAGCACATCCTGTTCACCCTTCCTCTGAAAGGCACCCTCAAGACCACCCACCCCTCCAGCTCCTCCGTTCCTGTCTTAGGGTACTCAGCCAGCCCATCTGCCCTGGATTTTCACAACTGCTTTCTGGTGACTTCCAATTTTCATCAACCCTTGACACAGCAACCTAGTAATGTTTTAAAAATTCACATTTAAAAAAAAAAGCATAATCCAGATATAGTCACTCGCTAGTTTAAAACCCTTGAGCGGCTTTCTGCTATCCCAGAATAAAGTCCAAACTCCTTGATTTCACTAAAATCTCTCAACTTCAGGCTCTGCAGTCATCACGGCCTGTGCTAGGTGTTTTCCTGCTGGGGGTCTCTGCAGGGAGGGCTCCTCCTCATCACTCGACCACCCGCCCCTGCCCCCAGGCAGCCTGACCACCAGGCACCTCCCAGGCCCACCCTTCCACCTCCAGCACAGGACACCCCCCCCCGCAGACACTCATCTTCCTGTCTCTTCTCGCCTCCTACAACGTGAGCTCCCAGAGGTCTGTCTACCGGTGCACGCTCTACTCTGTGACACACAGTAGACACGACAAACGTTTGTTGAATAAATGAAGGGAAAGACCAGAAGAGGGAGAGGAAGTGAGAATGGTGTAAACAGGTGCCTTGAAATATACCAGCAATTACAGAGGCGAGGGTAAGAGGACGCACGCCCAGTCCCTTGCAATTTCACACCCTAGATTTCTCTTCCGGTAACAAGAGTCAAGGTCAGTGAAACTCTGGGCTCTGTGGCTGCCAGCCCAGGACTTGACCACGTGAGCCTGTGCGCACTAACGCCCAGCCTCCTTTCTCTAATCCGGCATGGTCTGACCTTGACACCCACAGCTGGCACCCACCGATTTCCTCTTGGATCTCTTGGGCCACATAAGGGACCTTGTAGAGCAGGGAGAGACTCTGGTTCCGCCGTTCTTCAATCACATGGAGATGCGTCATCACCTGCGAGCACGAGGTGGGGGAGAGGCTGTGTCACCGGAACAGCCGGGCCTGCCGGACACCCACATGCTCTACAAAGGCCTGTGTTCTCCAGCAAAGCAGCTGGTCAGAGGGGTGGTAGGACCCCCTCCCCCATATTCACTGATCACTGCAGTGCAAGAACCTGTGGTACTTACTCTCAGTGACTTAAGGATTCATCCACAGAGTGCTCCAAGGGAAACTTTCAAAAACTTTAAAAAATGTCATTACTCGACTGTATTGTCAAAAAAAAAAAAACAAAAAAACCCCCACAAAATCCTGATTTTCACAGTCAGACACTCAGGAAGGTTTTTCTGAGTGAAAGAGGAAACCAGTTGGTCAGTTTTTACCACCAGCCAGACTAGATGAAGTAAGGAAAGAATGAAATCACTGGTTAAAAAGTAGATTTGGGGGGTGGGACCATTCATGGATTTTGCTTAGTGAAGCAGCTGCTTGAAATGATTATCACTGTGAGCAAGAGAACAGGTGATTCCTGTTTAACTAAACGGGGTTTCCCTGGTGGCTCAGGTGGTAAAGAATCCACCTGCCATGCAAGAGACAGGTTCGCCCTCTGGGTCAGGAAAATCTGCCTGGAGTTGGAAATGGCAACCCACTCCAGTAGTCTTGCCTGTGAAATCCCATGGACAGAGGAGTCTGGTAGGCTGGAGTCCATGGAGTCACAAAGAGTCAGACATGACTCAGTGACTAAGTGACTTTCAGACATGACTGAGTGACTTTCACTTTAACTAAACAAATTATGCCTCCAAAACTTCACACTGAGGTATAAACAAACCTGATTTAATGGGTGATAAGACATATCTACCATGTCTTCCATGCTCATTTCTTTTCCGAATGCAAAAGTTACAAAGTAGTTCATCCAAAAAAAGAGGAAAAAAAAGTCATTAAAGTGGTCCCTGAATTTCAGAGCTTTTTATGGTGGAATTGGAGAAGGAAATGGCAGCCCACTCCAGTACTCTTGCCTGGAAAATCTCATGGACGGAGGAGCCTGGTAGGCTACAGTTCTTGGGGTCGTAAAGAGTTGGACAAAACTGAGCTACTTCACTATGGTGGAAATAAGATTTGGGCTACCTCCGTCCCCATGACACAGTGAGTGTGAGGCAGGTGGCCATAGACCACACAAGGTCCTCAAGAAGGCTATTCCCACCAGTTACACCTGCAGCCACCAAGCTGTTCCTCGAGAGGGCGCTCTGAGCCAAATGGATTAATTATGTGGGCTTGAAGCCATTAAAGTGAAGGGTCAAAATGGAAACAAGTTAAATGGAAAGAGGCTTTTATTGTAGACTGATGTGTCTCTGACCTTTAAAAGCAAGGATGAAAGCAATTTAATTTTACACTTGCCATTCTTTCAATCAAGTAAATTGATGGGAAAGCACCAGAGTTGAGTGCCTTAGAGAAAAAATGCAAATGGAAGGGAACCATCAGCTGCCGGGTCTGGTCTCAGCAGTGGTGACACTGTCGCAGTCAGAGGATGGTTTCCACGAGGACAAGACCGATTGCAGGCTGGGACACTGGGCATCAGGCTTTTCAGAGGACTACCCCCCCTCCCCCGCCCCGGGAACTGCAGAGTGAGAGGGCGGCAGCCCATCAACCGTGCCTCAAACCAAAGTGCACATGATCTAAGAGGCTCAGCGTGTTCAGGGTTTTCTAGTTTACATAACACGACAGGGGACAGGCAAAAGGCTAGTGTAATCTGGGGGCTGAGCTGCCCCAGAATTAAGGGCTTTGAGCCGACGGTAAACGTCACACAGCAGACGTGCTCTGCCTCCCTGGGCCCTCACTCGTGTGGCACCTGCCTCCTGGCTTGAAGGTTTACTGACCACACTGACCGAGGTCTCATCTGTCCTTCTACTCTAACCACACGAAACAGGATGTTTCTCTGTAAAATACTACCGAATAGTTTAGTTTTCTTTAAAAAAAAAAAAAAAAAGAAATGTGATTAAGTTTAAAAAAAAAAGTAGACCTGAAAAATTCTAACTTCTGTCAGGATGCAAGCTTTCCCCACCTGAGCTTCCTGGAAGCTGCCCGAAGTCTGCTGGCCTTTCCTCCTTCTCTCCTACACCGTCCATCTTCAAACAAAGCCTCAGCTCCAGGTCCAACAGAGGCCCTGCGTCCCCAAATCCTTCCCACTCTTTAGGAGCCTGATTCCTTTCACTGGCTGGACACTCAGCGGCCAGGGTGGGCTCGTATGTTAAAGGACAATTCTCTATCTTTACAGCTCACATAAGTAACACCACACAACCGTGAGCTGCTCAAGGGCACACAAGGATTCAAGTGTACGGTCAGATACTGGAGCAGAACCAGGCAGCGAATGGGGCTGGAGGGGAACCACCCAGGGCCTCTGGGAAGTTCCCCCACAGTTACACCACAAAAGCAACAGGAGGCGGGAGGGGACAGGTCCCCAGCCTGTGCACGCCAAGTCCCCATAGCCTGCAGAGCACTGGATTTAGAATACAGAAAGTGATAGAGTAAGACCACTTATATCATTTCAAGGCCCTCGAGGAAAACTAACAGGCGAACTGTTTTAAAGGAAGCTAGCGGTCTTGTAGGCAAGTTCATTTCTGTGAACACAAGAGTAAAACTCAAGTTCATATAAAGACAAAACCAGAATGAGAAAGCAGGTCCAGAAACAACCTGCTTTCAACCTACAGACAAGTGCAGAGACTGGTGGGATACAGGAGGGGACAAGATGAGGGAGCTAACAGCATCTAAACAACGAAACTGAACAAGAGTCCAGTTTTTAAGATGTGCTTGATATAGAGTCGGCCAAAATATTCGTTCAGGTTCTTGTACCATCTTATGCAAAAACCCAAATGAACTTTCTGGACAACTCAATATTTGCCTAGAAAGAGATTTTATATGCTAATTCTGGTGGTACCCTTAACCAGTAATGAACTGAAAGAAACTGACTCATCTTGTCAATACAGCTATCCATTTCTAAACTTCCAGAAACAATTTAAATAGAACATACTTAATATTAAAAAGTATGGGAAACATATGTTTAAATTAGTACCTTTGCAAAACCCAGCTCTTGTACCTACTGTCTCAAAATAAGAGGTCATTCTCCAAGGACTAATTACAAGCTGCACTGGCCAGAGCAGTCTCCCTACCGTCTGCCCTACCTGGGACCTCATCTGGGCTGCCTTCTCGGGGTCGACAGCCAGCACGTGCTGGTAGTGACGGAGGGTGTGGAGGCGGTCTTTGTTCTCAGCACGGACGTAGCGCCGCAAGGCCTGCAGGATGCGATGGGGCTGCAAGACAGAACGGGGGTTTTCACATCCAGAGACTATAGAACTGAAAACAGGCAGAAAAATGAAGCTTTAAGAACTCACTGAGAATGTCAGCCTCAGCAAGGCACAGGAATGAAACCTGTACTTATACAAACTTTCAGTTACCAAGTAATAAGAAGCTACCTTTCTAAGCAAGGTACCAAAAGCTAAGTTCCACAGTTACAGAGGCTCCTCTATAGACAGTATTTCCCAGAACCTCTAGCCGACTTCCTCTTCTAGCCCAGTCTATGCTGTTTCCTGAGTTCAGCATCTGATGCTGCAAATACAAGCCAGGCTATCCTTGTGTCACTCAGGAAAGACCTCACTTGCTTAAGGAGGATACAGACAAACACCCTGTCCCCCCAGAGCAAGGCAAGGCAGAGCTGAGGGATCAAGGCAAGCAGCACTGGCAGAAAAGAGCTGTGATATAAACTTCCTCATCGTCTGATTTAAAATAGAATTGGTTCAAAAGTCTTCATCCATGGAAGGCATGTTTTTATTCTTTGGAAGCAAGGCTACTATAAAAATGCAAAAATTGGAGAACTACCAACTAGCACCCCGAGGTTCTGCTTTTCCAGGGGAAGCTGTGTCTGCACCGCCGGCGGCCCCAAGCAGGAAGTGGTCCCACACAGGCCACCCTGGGCTTCAGGGCTGGGCGTGCTCACCCGCGGAGGGTCGGACTGCAGGGCCGCCAGGTAGTTCTCCAGCGCCACCCGGCGGCGGTCGTTGAGCATGGCCTCCACACGCGCCAGGTGCGTCTCCACCAGCTGCTGCTTCTCGCTGGCTGCCTCCTTCTCCAGCGCCTTCACCATGGCCTGGAAGTGCTGAAGGAGAGAAAGAAGGAACTACGTGGGATGCATGCGCCTGTGGGCGTGCATGCACACGGGGCGGACCCCATTCTGCCTCTCTGTGCCCAGTGCCCCTGCAAGAGGCACAGACTTGGGGGTGCAGGGGTTGGGTCTGAGCGTTCTTAGAGGTGACCCTGAACATCGCAGGGGTTGAAGGCACCAATCCTCCTTGGTCAAAGAGCCTGTGTAACTAACTTACAGTCGGCCCTCCCTATGTGCAGTCCCGCATCCATGGATTCACCCCACCATGGAGGGAGTGTTGCTGTGATGTCTACCACTGAAAACATCCATGTGTGGGGGGACCCAAGGGCTGACTGTACTTCTCCATCTAACCAGAGCACATAAATCTGGGTGTCATGCAGGCTCCTCAGCACCTTTAGGGACGGAAATCCCAGCACGCCGAGCCCAGGCCTGGCCTCTCCACGTGCACTGCGAGAAACGGAAAGCTGTCTTTCCTACACTGTAATAAGGCACCCCCAAACCACAGACCAACGGGGGATAGGCTGCAACACACAGTCCAGCCCCAGGGCAGGCGATGCTGACCATTCACACCATGTGGTGAAGGGCAGGCTCCCTGCAGGTGCCAGGCCAGGTCTGCAAACAAAACTTAAGGCTGGGGAGCTGAGACCCCCCACAAAGAGTGCACTGGCTACGCATAAACGGACACTCGTGGGTTTTCTAGGTTACTGGCGACAAAGCAAAGGTGATTCAACATCACGAGCACAGAGATTTTGGCTAAACATAAACACAAGCTGACCTAAACAGCAACCAGTTTCATGAGTCCCAAAACAGTCCTGTCAACGCCCTCCTCTAGTCAAGGGGAAGGCAGCTGCTGAGGTTCTAAGATTACATTCTTATATCCAAAGTTAAAGATGAACTGGTATCAGAGAGCTCTATTTTCTGCCTTTGACTTTAATTAAGTCTGCCAAGGGAAAAAAAAAAAGCATTCAGTACTGCAGAGAGCAAGGCACAGCCTAAGAAGGACGATGCCCGAGGACTTGCCAGGAGAGGAAAACACACACAGCTGAGCAGAGGTTACTTCTGGGCATGAAAGGTGTGTGCGCTCTGCCCTGGGTTTTGGTTTCCCTCCGCGGCACGTGAGCAACTCCAGAGACCACCACTGGGAGGGAAGACAAAGCAGGCTAGCGAGAACCTCCCCGTGACATGAGCTCTCAACTAAAAGGGGGTGTCATCATCCACCTTGTGGGGAGTCTGGCCCTGACCATATCCTGAAGGGTCTGCCTGGGGCCCCTCCCTGGAGGACATGTCTCACCTGAATGAGAGTCTGCCTCTCTGCTTTGGGGAGGTTCTTCGCTTGAAGTTCAGCCTCTTCCCATTCCTTCTTCACCTGGAACAAAGGTCAAAGCCACTATGATCAGATGATCACTGGACCAGCAGTCCCATTTCCTAAAAATACTGCGGGGCCCTGAACATGATGTGGGAAGACGCACAAAGAGTGCGCGGCCCACGCGCTCAAGGTCTGTCCCAGGTCGGCTGCCTCAGAAGACGGTGGCGTCAGTGCCCCCCAGGGGGAGCCCCATTTCACGGCTGCCTCATCCATAACCTCGGGTGTGTTATTTGCCAGACTCTGTGCCTCAGGCTCCTCACAAGAAAGGGGAGGAGGGCTAACACCTGCTTCTCAGAAGCATACAAGCCAGCACAGGTGACGTGAGGCTGCTACCGAGACCTGGCAAAATCGTCCCTTTTCAACTTTCTTTCAACCCTTCTGAGTAAGTCTAGGAGAAAGCTGCACTCCCGTGGTGCTCCTGTTGTTCTGACACAACTCCTTTAAGGAAAAGAAACCCATAGACTCAGGCCTTCAGCAGGCAACAGTATCTAGCCGGAATGTTCTAACACTGCTTTCATCTAATATATGTTAGTATGGTTACCCTGCTCTAATGATAAATGATACTAGCTTTCTACTTACAATATTGATATAGAATGCCCTTCTTCAAAAATAAAAAACTTAAAAAAAACAAGCAGAAGGCAATGTTGACAGGAGGTGCCCCCGGCAGAGCGGAGCAGTAGCGCCCTGGAGGGGTGACCCCCAGCGCGGAGCTGTGGGAGGGGCGGGCACGGGTCCCGTCCAGGGGCCAGCCCCGCTCACACTCACACGCCTCACCTGCGGAGGTGGCGTCCCTTTGCTCCAACTAGGAAGCCCTGACGCCACCCAGGGAAGGGACCAAGGCCTACCCTGTCCATCCGGTTGCGGTGGCGGATCTCCAGCTGCTCCTTGGCCTTCTGGAAGCGTGCGTGCTCATTGTCGTCTGCAGACGTCTCGAAATACACGTCGACGTCATTGGTGGGCAGAGGAGTTGGGGGAACTGCAACAGAACGACCGGAGGGTTCTCTCCAGGGCCTGGCCCGGTGCTGAAGCTGCACTGTGCTTGGGTCGAAGCCCCGCTGGGCCTGCTGGAGGGACCGGTGTGAGTCCCTCAAGGTGCTGGTGCGCCCGTCTGGCGGGACTCCGCCCTGTCTTCTTACCCCAAATCCAGCCGCCAGGCCCATCTGCAACCCCGGTACCTTCAGAACCAGCGAGGTTCCTACTCGGGACTTCAAACCTTAAAACCTAAAACCACCTACCCGACCTACCCTTCTGATTACTGAGTGCATCTGACTAGAGATGGGGCTGACAGCAGACGTGCAAAGGCGCTGCAGGGCTCAGGGTGCCTTTTCTCCAGCTATCTTTAGGTCACAATTCACGCTGGGCCACTGATTCAACTGTACATTCGTTGAATGTACAGACTGGGCAGAGGAAGTCCAAACGTCCCAGCTGCCTCTGCTCAGTTTTCAGTCCCACGGGAGGACCCTCAGCCCAGCCCCACAGCAGGGACAACACGTCTGACAAGGACTCACTGTCAAAGTGAAGACACTCCGGGCTTTTCCGTCCATGACGCTCGAGGGCCTCACCCGGCCACCACCCAGAGAACAGCCCATTAGAACAAACACTCCACATGCCTAGTCCAAGTTCCTGGTGGCCCCAGGCAGGTGAGTGTCTGCACAAAGGAGCTTATCCGCATCCAGGAGGTGAAGGCGACAGGTTTACTTAGCCTCTTAAGAAATACCGGTGGAGACGCTGAACACCCCAACTCACTGGGGATTTCCCAGGGCAGGGAGGAATGTCAGGCAGCCTGCTCACACAACTTGTTCTGTCGGTCACACTCGAGAGCCACGTGGACAGCCAAAGCCAAATTCAACAAATTTCAATTTGGAGACACACTCACCCAATTTCCAGAACTGCGTAACTTTAACACAACGTGAGCGCAACTGGCAAATTGATGAGCGTGAGCACAAGCCAGCCAGCCACTCCACGTCCTTCTGTCTGGGCATCTCCCATTCACCCTCCTACTGAGTTTTAAACCTAAAAGCTATGGCTCAAAGTCTTGTCAAGAATATTTGGTTCCTACATTAAGTTTAAATACGGTCTCAACAGCCAATTTGCAGACTGTAACTAAGTCAGAATCTATATAGATTGCTTCAGAAACCACGTTCCCCACGACACTCAGGAGCGTTTCAAAGCACTGAAGTCCAACAATGCCAACAAGCACGTTGCTCAGTGATGTAGGCCCGCAGCTTAAAGGCTTACGTGTTGGAGACAGAGCCTTTGGTTCATATCACTGGGCTGGACAAAGATAATGTAAGCGCAAGCTGCCTCCTCCGCCTCAGAATAGAAAGGGCACAGGAGCAGCAGACCTGGAGGTCTGGGTCTGGAGATGATGTACTCGGACCCGGAACCACACGCCCTGTGTGTGCGAGCAAACGGCCCAGGAAGCTGGCACACTCGCAGGCGCTGGTCCCTTTCAAGCGACAGTGACGCTACCAGGTTCCAAAGCACTCCAGTCAGGGGCCCCACAAGTGCACGGACACACTGCTGCTCCTTGCACAGTAACAGGGGACTCCAGCCCTGCAGACTTCAAAACCGTTCCTGCTCTGACCACCTGCCGTCGCCTGGTGTCTCTTAACCGCCCCATCAACATTTGATCCTTTGGGTAAAGACTGTGCCTCACGTTCAACATGATCTTTAATGACCCCGATTCCTCAGGTTTCCACCACGAACAACGCTTTCTCGCCCCTTAGTTTAAGGAGTTTAACAAAGCAGGAAGAAATCACTGTAATGTCTAGCTCTGTCTCTCCCGAACAAAAAAGTTTCTGCCACCAATGTCTCCTAAGGGCTCCCCCCCTCATCTTTTCATTTCAAATAAAACCTCCACAGAGTAACAGCTACGGTGGAAGCACTAACAGTATACCATACCATATTAAGAGGGAACAAAAGGGCCTGAAGGAAACCTTCGAATGAAAAGCCATCAGATGCTAGAGCCAAAAATCTTCAGAGCAAATGACAAGGACCAGCAATGAGAGTGAGAATCAGAAGGCAGGAGGGTCTGTCAGCCAGAGAGTTCCCCTGCACATGGGTCAGAACTGCTCCAGACGAGAATCTTCAACAGGAAAAAGGCTAACTACGAAGAAAAGAACCCTATTGACGTCTGAGTGAACCAGACTCCACCGAATGTGGAATTTCCTTTGTGACCAAAGAAAACAAACCAAAACCCCGTTGCTTCCTAAAGCTCTGTGGGACCCAGGGGCCCCCCCAGAATACTGGGGAAACAGTCACCACCTCTTGTCTGCAGAGCGGGCTCCCTGGAGTGCATAAAGATGTTCCAATGTCCTCGGCAGCCCAAAATGTCCTTACGGTCACCTCCTTGGAGAGCAGGCGTCCCCCTGAGCAAGCATGTGCAGAGCTCACAGCCTGTCCGAGTGCCCTTCATGCCTTGCAGCGTTTGACGGCAGAGGGCAGGGCCTCCTTCCCAACCGACACAGGGGTTCCAATGAGATAGGGCCGGCCCCGGGCTCGCCCCTCGCGCACGGAGGGCACACCACCCCTCCGCCATCACCTCCGTCATCACCACCATCATCTCCTCCACCACCTCCTCCACCACCAGGCCCACGGCGAGCACAGGACACAGAAAACTGAGCTGACAGCTGCCGACAGAAAAGCAGATCTAGATCTAGGAAGCACAGAGAGGAGGGCAGACGACCGACAGTGACACCGAGTGGGCGGGGAGCACCACACAGACGCGGCCACGAGGACGCCGGGGGACAGCACGCCGGACGGGACTTACTCATCGCTTTACACACAGCCATACAATAATCCTCAGACTCAAAATTGTTCCTGTTGCCGCCGCAGCCACCATATATAAAGCGCACGCACTTCCCCTTGGAGAGGTCGAAGTACCAGCGGGGCATCACGGCCCGGCACGGCCCCGTCAGCGCCTCCTGGGAGCAGACAGCTGTGTGGAAATGGTCAGAAGGTCAGCGGGGCGGGGGAGCGGCTTCGGGGCTTCACAAAGCTACAGACCGGCAAGGGGAGAAGGGCTGAGTGACACTGGACCTCAGCGATGGCCAAGACAGGGTGGGACCTGGGCGTCCGGGCCAACGCCAGCCCCCTCTTGCCAGCCATCGCTGAGCATGAGGTCCTCTTCCTTCCCAAAGCAAGGGAGAGCCCTGGGCCCTGTCGCAGGCAGCAGTGCTTTCTGCCCTGTCTGGAGCTTAGAGAGGGAAAGGGCTGACGTGGAGGAATTCCCCAGTGCACAGCTCGGGAGCCTCACGTTTCTGGTCTGTGTAGTGGGGATAGCTGCCTGCCTTGGCCGTCTCGGGGGCGCCCGGGGCAGAAGGAGACAGCGCAAGTGCAGAGGCAGTTTCAGTGGCAGTCACCGTTGTAAACACTACTCAGGCCCCTTGGAAGGGCCAGTGTACTTTTTCTATTCTCCAAGGTTAATCACAAACTTCTAGACTCATTAAGTCATTGGCTCCTGGCTGAACCCTAAACAATTCTTCAGCTCTTAACTGGCTTCAAATATACGGTCAGCAGGGGGCTGCACAGAAGTGGTCTGGAACATTCACTTTTTATTTGACAGTGAAATTGAAAGGGCCTTGATCCCTTACCAGCAGGTCATCAAATTCCAGATGCCCCGATGGCCAAGCAGGGCAGCCTACAGATTGGAAAAGAACCAAAGAAGTGACGTCCACTCCAGAACCTGGGACCTGGGCCTCACTGAGGAAGGGGCTCCCGTGCGGGAACATCTCCGGCTGGACGTGGGAGAATCCTGTCGGAGGGCAGACCACGTGGCCTCTCTGATTCTTTAAGTCCTCACAATGCACATCACAGGTTCCTGACTCCATCTGTCTGCTACCAGACCCGGGAGCACCCAGAGCTGACCTCCCCTTTGGGCAGGAAGCTGCCCTCCTGGGACCTACCTGGGAGGCAAGCAGCCTGTAAGTGAATGAAAGAATATTAACAGGTTATAAGTGTGACTGCCAGGCGGGTCTACCTCTGACGTCATGCGTGATCTCCTCCTCCGCGGCGGCCCCGTCGCTGCCAGGCTCGGTGGGGCTCTCCTCGTTGTAGTCATCTCCCTTGAAGGAGTCGTAGTAGTAGTCGCGGTCTTCCACCACCTCCTCCCCCTCCTCCTCGTCGTCCTCATCTGCAGCTGCCTCTGTGAAGTCTTCCAGATCTGCTTCGGTAGGGAACTCACTAAAGGTCACAACAAGAAAGGAAGGTCACCGCCAACTGCTGCGCACGGAGAACCACCGACTCCCTTCCCTGCCCTGAGACGCGGAAGACAGAGGCAGGGAGTATTAAGTTCAGCCCATCCCTGTGGCTCAGACGGTGGGAAAGAATCCTGTAACGCAGGAGACCCAGGTTCGATCCCTGGGTTGGGAAGATCCCCTGGAGGAGGAAATGACAACCCACTCCAGAATTCTTGCCTGGGAAATCCCATGGACAGAGGAGCCAGGTGGGCTACAGTCCATGGGGTCGCAAGGAGTCAGACACGACTGAGTGACTAACACTTTCACTTTTTCCCTTTCACAGGGAGCTATGCTGCTCAAAGCCCTGAGCCCGGCCACCTCATCAGGAGCTGACCGCCAGGGAGCAGGGGTCACGCGATCGTGTAGGAAGGCACGTGGCCAGGAGGACAGGTGGATGAAGGCCACTGGTGTGCCTGGGCTCGGCCACAGTCGAGTGAGATGTGCTGGCCCGGCTCCGCAGGAACAGGCTTCACCCAGAAGCCTGGGTGTGGCAGCCACAGCTGCCCACAGGCTCAGGACGGAACTCACCTTTTATAAACATCGTAGTCTTCCTCCTCATCCTCATCGTCGTCGTCATCATCATCGTCGTCCTCCTCGTCCTCTTTGGACACCGCAGTTTGGACCACCTTTGTCTGTGGGCAGCAGACGTACTCGGTGCCGTGGAACTGGTCCACCCCGCAGGGCAGCAGCATGCCGTAGCTGTACAAGGTCATCCCCTGAGTGAGGCAGGCCTGGGGGCCCGGGACCGAGGTCAGGAGACAGCAGTGTGCTCGGAGACCCCCGCGCCTACCCCAGCTCTCTCAGGACACGGCAGTGTGCTCGGAGACCCCCGCGCCTACCCCAGCTCTCTCAGGACACGGCAGTGTGCTCGGAGACCCCCGCGCCTACCCCTAGCTCTCTCAGGAGACAGCAGTGTGCTCGGAGACCCCCACCCCTAGCTCCCTTCAGAAAATGCCCTCACCAAATCACAATGTTAAGCCTTTCTCATGGACACATTTATTTTTTGCCGAGAAGTTGTGACGCTACTACTTTATAGATTTACAAATTTCACTTAACCTGCAATGGGAAAATGTCATCTGACCCAAAACAACGAAAGCCCAAAGGTGGAAAAAATTAAGGCTGGGGTGGTGGTGGTGGTGGTAGTTTCTTTGAATAATTATCAACACTGGTTAACAGTGGTCAGTAATAACATACATTCTTCAGTGGTGAGGAATTCAAATTACTTCACAATTAGACAAAATAAAGGCAACTGACTGGAAAAACTAACTAAACTTGGAGGACAAGCTAGGGAAGTTCATTCTCCTCAGAGGAAGAATGAAATGACTTCTAGTCCTGTCAGCATGCACATCCACACAGATTTTCTGTAATTGGATATTTCCACACAGGCCTTGGGGTCTGGGGCAGCCTTACTGGATGCCCTGCCGAGAGCTTAATGATCCTTTTAATATCCTTGCCTCCAGGTGCTGGACTGTTAATACTGTACTTCCTTACCAAAATATGTATTCTTCTTTCAACTTAGAAGATACAAGTAACTGTAAACTTTGATGAGATAAAGGGGAAAAAACTGAGTTAAGATTATGGTAAGAAGATTATTATTTTTCTGGAGAAACATGCTATTCTCTCTCCCAAAAGCAGCAGCAGCCTCTGACTTCTGCTGTCCAGCTTTTTACCTCTTTGACCACCGTGTGCCAGCGCTGGTGATTCTCGCACACCTCCATCTGCTCCTTGTGGAAAAACAGGCACTTCTCTGGAACCAGCAGAACATCACTGACAAATTCACCCACTGGAAAAGAGCAGCTTTGTCAGGAGCAAATCTGATCACAATTCTAGGTGAAAACGGCCTGACTGCAGGTTACTGGGACGGTCACGCAGCCACATGCAGACAGGAGCAGTCTCTGTTGTGCGTGAGCTGAGCTGCAGCTCATCTGTAGAAGCCAACTGGACATTTCAGCTCCACATCAGCAGACACAAGAGCTCGACACCCCACTGCAGCTGTGACGCCCAGGACTTCCTTACTCCTCCCCGCCCTCCATTCCTTACTCCCAGCAGGCCTGCAGCATCCAGCAGGGGAAACGGGAAGAGGAGCCCATCAAGACCTCAAACACACACAGCAACTCCCCACCACCTCTGACTTCACACCAACAACAGTCCCAGCCTCTCACTTCTCTATTTCTGCCCACATAGGGTCGAGTAACAAAATGTCCAGGAAACTGAGACTGCCTGTTCTCCCAAAGTACAGGTGAACTTTACTTTAGCCCTACAGACACCTCGCTCTAAGACAAACCACCACTGTGATGACTGATCCAGGTACAGACCATCAGTGGAGGGTGAATGATGAAGGGGGAGAGATGTCTTTGCAGAGGGAAGGTTTGGCAGACACGACTTTACCCGAATGAGTGATAAGCTGACGGAGGTCATGTTCTGAGAACACATCACCTAGACCGTCTTTCTGCTACAGTCATCTGGCTCTAATTATACACAATGAGAGGATGAGATAGTTGCACGGTATCACCAACTCGATGGACATGAGTTTTGGGAGTTGGTGATGGATAGGGAAGCCTGGTATGCTGCAATCCATGGGTGATAAAGAATTGGACACGACTGAGCGACGGAACTGAATTGATACACAACAATATGACAGAACCATATTCAGAGACATTGTGTTAAACAAAGGGCCTAGACTGTCAAAAATATTATTGTCATAAAAGATATAGGAACTTCCTTAGGGGTCCAGAGATTAAGACTCCACTCTTCCACTGCAGGGGGCACAGGTTCGATACCTGGTTGGGGAACTAAGACCCCACATGCTGCCAAAAGAATAAATAAAAGATTCAAAAGAAAAAAGCTGAGGAACTGTCTAAATTAAATATATCACCCTTTTTGCAAGGGAGCTGCAAAAGACATTATTTGAATACTAAGGACAGTTGTCCCAAGTGTGACTGCTATATCACAGTCATAACACAAGAATGCCCTTGCTCTTAAGAAGTTGAAAGCTACTTCGAGGTGAACTATCATAAAGTCCCAACTCACTTTCAAATGGTCTAACAATGAAAAGTAAGTAAACTGCACAAAATAGACAGAGTAAGATGGATAAGGCAAAATTGGAAGCCCAGGTAACAGGTATAGAGTTCACGACTGCATTTATCATAGATCTGAAACTTCTCAAAAATAAAAAGCTGGGGGGAAATTACACATAGCTGCTTAGAAAATAGAGCCCTTATCTTTTAGAAATACATGCTGAAATATTAAAAAAAAAAAAGGTATCTGTGATTTGTTTCCAAATAATGAGGGGTTGGTGGGAGTGGGCCACAGATGGGGTAAGACGGGGCAATGGGCATATGGAGGTTAAGGCGATGATTCTGTGTCTGGGTATGTTTGTAATGTAATAAAAGGCTAGACACTCTGGGTCAATAGGTACAAGGTGGGCCTCAGTGATCCACATTCAACGAACATCCCAGGCTTTTCTGATGCATCATGGACAGGCCCCACGGGGCCCGAGTGCAGGATACTGAGATGGTGCTGGGCTCGGGGGAGACGCGGTAAGTAGGGAGGGGAAAGGAGGCGGGCAGGCTCAGCTCTGACGTTTTACAACAGCAGCAACAACAAAATAACAAAAAGGAAAACCTAATAAAGAAACTGTCTGGCAAGAAAGGTCTTGAGGGAATTCCCTGGTGGTCCAGTGGTTAGAACTTGGTGTGTTCACTGCCAGGGCCCGGGTTCAATCCCTAGCTGGGGAACTAAGATCCCACAAGTCAAGTGGCAAGGCCAAAAGAAAAAAAAAAAAAGAAGAAAAGAAAAGTTGTAGGGCCTGAACTGGTGTGAAGTCTGCTTGTATACCAGTTTCCCAGCCTCATCACAGCCTCAGGCCTCAGTCTCTGGGAGGCCAGGGGCAGCCCCCGACCTGCTGTGAGGGGGAATACGCTCTCCTGTCGTCACTAGCAGCTGCCCCGCATCAAAACAGCCCTCCACAGGGCAGTGAGGTTTCACTCCGCTATTAGCACAGGGACTTTGGGGGCCCAATAGCTCAATTTGACACTAATGCAGGAACACAAAGGTGAATTAGACATGGTGCTGCCCTCGAGGGCCCCAAAGGCCCCAGGGAGCTAGAAATAAAGTTTACCATCAACCAGGCTTACAGTCGTAGCTTAGTATAAGCAAAGCCCAGTGGCAAACCAGAATTCAGCTCCACTGGGGAAGCAATCTGAGGCTCAAACTAAGGAGAAATCACTTGAATTCTGACATCCAAGTAGCAGCTCTCATTGTTGACAGTAACTGTATTTACTTGGCAATATATTTATTTTTGGTTTTTATTTTGGCCCCGCCTCGAGGCTTCTGAGAACAAGACATCACAGCAACCATCCCCATCCAAAAATCCTTCCTGAAATAAACAAGGACAGAAACAGCCACAGGCTCACAGAGTTCTCTTCTTCAGGTGCAGGAGTCCGTCTGTATATAAATGTCAGAGATGACTAACTTCTTCCCCGAAAATACTAGCACCTTTGCCTCTTCACACTTTACCAACTCTGTACCACTCGGACCAACCTATTTAGATAAAATTTTACGGCTAATGAGGCAACTAGTAGTAACGTAAGCTATAAGATTCAGTTTGAGGGGGAACATTGAAGTGTGACTTCTCATTGAATATACTAAGTACCAGTGAAAAAGAGCCACACTGGGAAAGACCAAGTTGCAAAGGCTTATGGACAAGGATGCAAAAGGAAGAAATGATTGCTAGGTAGCATCCATCTATTGTGTACAAATATTCAAGAATGCTCTTTCATTTCCTTAAGTTTGAGAGTTTTACAGAGAATGAATGAAACCTCATACCCAGAGATTCCTTACAGCCAAATGCAATGAAAAAACATCTTCAAAACCACATCACACAAAACCTTTCAAAAGCGTCACACCACTGTAGGGTGCTCAATTTTCAATAAACCGTGTTAAGTGCACAGTGTCCTCCTTTCCCCCACTCAACATTTTTAAAACAAAGTAATTACTATGTATTTTAAATACTGTTACTCAGGTGCTGCCTCTATTAGTTTGCTACATGTGAGAATGAGAAAAGCAATGAATCCCACCTTAGGAAAGGTTTTAATGAAGGGAGGGAGGGGAACAGGTTAATGGTTAACAGAAACAGCCACAGAGACACAGAGAACAAAGCAGTGGTTACCTCCGGGGAAGGGAGGGCGGGAGGACCTGGGAGAGGACTGACACACACACACTATTGTGTATAAAACAGGTGACCAATGAGAACGGACTCTGCAACACAAGGCGTTCTCCTCAGCGCTCTATGGAGACCTGAACGGGGAGGAAATCCAAACAAGATGTGCAAACATGGCTGATTCACTTTGCTGTACAACACAAACTAACACAATATTGTAAAGCAACTATCCTCCAATAAATATTAATTTAAAAATAAATACAGAACTACAGAGGCTGTCTACTTTTTATTAAATTTTTTATTTTATATTGGGATATAGCTGATTAACAATGTTGCGATAGTTTCAGCTGAACAGCAAAGGGACTCAGCCAGACATATACATGTATCCATTCTCCAACCTCCTCTCCCATCCAGGCTGCACAGAACACTGCAGGCTGTCTACGCTTAATACTCTGTGTTCGTCCTATTACGGATCATCAAAAATGGATTATTTTGCCCCATAAAGCTTCTATGACCAAATCTGCCGAAGTCACCAAGGTTACAGATGTGTGAACATAATTCAGGTGTGTTGACGATGAGTGGTCAGGATGAACACACTCACTATGTAAACATTTGGAACAACCCTCCTTCTGGGTGATAAAATGTCACAGTGGTCCCCAAGGTCACTCTGACTGTTCATACAAATACATGGAGTCAGGAACACCCTTATCAGCTGAGCCTTCAGAAGGGCAGGCGGCACAGGGCCTGGCCGAGGCCGCCCTGGCTGTCCACAGCAGCCACGACTCACTCCTTCGGCTCCTGAACACTAAGCACGGAGTCTGATCTGGCTGGCGACACAGGGCTTCAGCAAAATGTGTGCGCGAAGTAAGAGGACCAGAAGACCACGCCTCAGACTGCCGCAGCACTACGCACGCTAGGACTGTTAACAGTCATTTCAGACTCTCGACGTGGACGAAGCTGGGCCTCTCTCAGGGCAGCACGCTCACTCAGGGCTACAGAGAAGGCTCATCCTGAGAAGTCAGAGGATGCCCACAATGGGAGAGGCAGAGTGAGCAGCAAACGAGTCACCTATCAACACCAGAAAGCTGCGAGTGTTCAAAGGTCCCCTGATAAATTCCTCCAGCCCTTGGCGTCTAAGCAGATGAAGCTATCTCACTGTGAGCTGAGAGAAAATGAAATGTAAGGGACTTCCCTGGTGGCCCAGTGGTTAAAACTTCACCTTCCAACGCAGGGGGGCACAGGTTCAATCCCCGGTCGGGGAGATAAGGTCTCACAAGCTATGTAACATGGCCAAAAAATAAAAATTAAAAATATTTTTATATTTTTTTATAAAAGAAAAGAAAATGTGATACTGGGGACCCTGACTCCCTGAGCGGTACCCAGAGGCCCCAGGATGCTCACCGAGACACTTGAAGGGGATCACGATGTGGCTCTTGCACTGCTTCTTGTCCCTACGGCACCAGTTGTCCACGCTGACCGGCTGGTTTGCCTCCATCACATTTGTGATCTGTAGCTCTGGATACATCTGCAAGGAACAGGGAACACGCACAGTAAACAGACTTTGTCCATAAGAGACGGACACTCGCCAGTGACTGAGGGCGAGGGTCTGTGTGCTCAGCTTCGCCATCGTTCTCTGTGAAGGTGAAGACCCTTCTGCTGCCGGTTCCAGCTGAACTCCTCCTCAAGTACAGACATTCTGTGACCATCAGCTTTCTTTCGACAGGCAGACTTTGGAGCACTTCTAACACATCTTCTGTTTAAAAGGACCTATAGAAGCAACAAGCATTCACCCCGAAACGAGTCTATTAGGTATCGAGTCCACTTATAGGAGATGTGTAAATAGCCGAGTTCATGAACTAAAACATTTGAAAGGCAAGTTTATGGAAGTGTCTGTTAATGAAACTAGAGAATAATATTCCAGCCCTGACCCCAAAGGCTAGTTTTGGTAAGAAGTTAAAACATCTCATATCCTTTTCTACATCAAGTGTTGACCTGAAAGGTCTGTTCAATCAGACCTGAAATAATCCCTTACGATACTGGTGGCTCCTGGCTACAACCTACAAGTGCAAAACACAAGTGCATATGTGACACTGGGCCTGCTTCACATCTTCCTGTGACACGTGGGAAGCCAAAGCTGCATCTCTATGGCCCTGGTCAAGCTCCTGCAGTATTCCTTCCAGAAAGCCCCAAGAGCTTGCAGCATGCCTGGGCCAGGCACACATTCAGAACAAAAGCCTGCTGACTGGTCATTACCAGCTTGGTCTCAGGTCAAAAGAGGAGAATGACAGAGCACCTGTTTCTAAGCTTACTAGGCTCACACGTGACCCAGAAAGAAAAGCATCTTTACGCTTCAGAAAGCACGCTCACCTCCTGACAGTACTGGAGAACTTCTTCTTTTGTGCCGAAGCAGCTCTGGGTGCCCGCTGGGTCAGGCTCCCACCTCCCAGTCTGGATGTTTACATGCATGTTTAACTTCCCACAGAACATTGCGATCTGAGGCTCAGCGACAGCGAATCCTGTTCCAGCGCTGGCTGCGAGGGCCTATGGAGGGAAAACAATTCCAGGGTCACTCCCAGGAGGCGGGCGCAGAGGCGGCTGGGACAGTACAACTGACGTTTTAAAACTCTTCATTAGTTACTATTTCTTCTTCATAAAGAAATCCTTTTCCCAGGAACAAAGCCAGTACAAAAAAAGACATCTATGGTCAACAGAAAGGTGGGTGAGAAATGTAACCCCCTCTCCACATCTGGATACTTCTGACCTGGGAACAGATCATTCGCCTGCAGTCCCCTCCAACACAAGCAAATCCACTTCCCAGCCCGGAACACACCAAGCCACAGGGTACAGAATGACAGAAGTTCCAGGGATTCTACTCAATCTACTCACACAACAAAACTTTATTGAGCAGCTACTATCTTTGCACAGCAGCATGCTAAATGCTTAACACACAACGACAAGCCAAAGATTATGTTCCCTGCCCGCAAGGGCTTATAGTCTAGTCTACAGTCGACTCTCACACAGAAAGTGTGATCCCACCCCAGACATTCTGAGGAGGAAGAGAACGCAGAGCTGGAGGAGCCTACGGTACAAAACAGGGATGTGACGTAGCCTGCGTAGGAGGTGGACCGGGGAAGCATCCCGAAGAGTGACTCTGGGACAGCTCTGGGCATCCATGTGGGGACTGTTGACTGAGAGTCTGTTGAGGGCCCAAGGGAGGTGGGCAGCACACAGGGTCCAGATGGGACAGTCCTCAGACCGAGGAAGGATGGAGTGCTGAGCATTTTAAGCACAGACTTAACATTTCCAAATGCAGCTCTGATGCTATCTGTATACAGGGGAATGGCTTGGGAGCTGGAGAAATAACAGTAGCTCAGGTAAGACACCCCCGGGAGACAGGAAAGGCTCGGCGACGACGGTTAGGGGGTGCGATACATGAAAAGGGAACACTAAGAGGGACTTCAAGAACAATTTCATCTCGTGCTAGTAAAAAAACCCCAGCTATTTGTACCCATTAACAGCTCACAAATTACAGGTGAGAAAAAACATTTAGGTATGATGACTAAGGCTCCTGCAGTCTCATGCACTAGAAAAAAACACAGGCATCTCTGCGTCTGCAGATATACCAATATTGATAGCAACATCCACAATAAAGTTTTGTTGTCTCTCCTAATATAAAGGTTCTTTCAAAACAAAACTTAAACATCTTTTTAAAAACGTGAAAACTTGAGAGTCGGGTTCAATTATATGGTCTATTATGATCGTTTCAAAAAGAGCAAAGAGTATTAATACTAAATGGTTTTCCTAATAACAGAAGAAAGCAGATCTTGCTTTTAAAATATACAGAAAGTCGTGTTTTCCAGGCAAGTCTCCTTGATCTGTGCTGATGGACAGATTACAGACATGAATGGTCCTTCCAATCAGAAGCCTATGTTAGATTATGAAATACCACTTTTTCCAGGACCAATTTACCGCCTACACAAGTTTTGCTTTGCAGTTTATTAAAATCAGCCTGCTTTCCACTAGCATGAGACAAGGAAGCAAGAACACTTGCTTGATCGTTGGGGGAAAGCTAATCTGGATCTAAAATGTTGCCAAGATCAGTCAGGGCTGAGAAACACCTCAGTGAGATCCAATGAGGAGAACAGTCAGCAACTTTATTAAGTAGAATAGATCGTTGCCCTACTGTGAGGAATAATCATTTACTAAAGTAGAAGACAGATACTACGCCTTCAGAATAACTGATTGTGAAGCTACATACTGGAGTTAAGTCCTGTCTACTCCAAAGAAAGAAAAAAATGTTTAAGGTACCTGTGAAAAGAACGCACAAGTAGTACCCTAATGCAGGGGTCCCCAACCTTAGGGATCTAATGCCTGCTTATCTGAGGTGGACCTGATGTCATGACAGAAATAAAGTGCACAATAAATGTGCTTGGATCATCTCAAAAGCACCCCCTCACCCCGGTTTCTGGTGTCAAAAAGGTTGGGGACCACTGCCCTAGTGGCATTTAATTCAAATAGATCATTAAAAGGTATAAAGATGCCTAAGACAAATATGCTTAATTCTCACACTGAGCTGGAGATATGCACAAAAAGTGCCTCTTGTACTGCTCATTCTTCTTCTGGGAGCCATACTAAGGATCAGGGCTAGTAACCTGAGTTATGATGCGGAGGGAAACGCACATACAGCACACGAGGGGGTACATACAGGGACAGAGGGGAACAAACCCCAGGCTGCACTCTGCACTGAAATCAGTATTCTCAGCAAATTCCTTCCTTCCAACTCTTCAAAAGCTTAGACAGAAATAAACAATCAACAGGTCAGGAAATAGTATTTCCTAGTAGCTTAGACGTTTGGTCATGCCTAACTCTTTGTGACCTCATGAACAGTAGCCCGCCAGGCTCCTCTGTCCATGGAATTCTCCAGGCAAGAATACTGGAGTGGGTTGCCCTGCCCTCCTCCAGGGGATCTTTCCAACCCAGGGATCAAACTTGCATCTCTTACATCTCCTGCATTGTAGGTGGATTCTTTACTATTGTGCCACCTGGGAAGCCCAGTGTTTCTTAAACCTGCTACAAATGAACTACCGTGGTTAAATGTGAAAGACCTGAGCAACAGTTTGTAAATTCTGGACTAGACTTATGGATATATACAACAACATGGCTAAATCTGAAATCAGATTCGTGGTTATCCATAAGAGTTAACGACTGGGAAAAAGGACAAGAATATTTTTGAACAATAAATTTTTTTTTAAGTTTTAGTCTGGTAATAATTGCATGCATATAAACATTTCTCACAACTCAAAAAATGGCATATTCTAATATTAAGCAAGTGGAATGCCAGGGTGGGATCTCAGGGGTGGTATCTCATCTTTCAGAAGTTCAGGGACAAGGGAGGGAAGCCATTTGCCTCTTCCATTCCAAAAATGAATATAGGTAGGAAGCAGTGTCAGTTACGTGAGGTCGCCCAGGCCACAGAGGGGGCGTGGTCAGGATCATGCAGGCAAATGCCCGTCACACGGCAGATGATGGTCCATGTGTGGTGTTGGCTGAAAGACCACAAAGGTTCTGACTGTATGAATGCTCAGTTTACGGGTCAACCACGGAGGTCAGTACATTGGTAGTAAGTGCACTTGATCTTTGTGTAGAGATAGTCAGCAGCATCTTCCCCAAAGAGGATCTCAAACACCCAAGGGTAAAGCAGCAGGAAGCAGCAGCTTGCAGCCACAGCTCCTCACATCAGTTACCACCAAGGGAAAGGAGGACAACTGGAATCGGTCCAGACAGCTCATATGCTGCCGTGATTCACTTCTGAGTTCAGAAAGATTAATCCTTGTGGTCATCAGAGACTCTCAAGAAGGTATCATTTGGAATATAAAAAGCCTCTGCGGACAACGTCCAGGAATCAACTAATCAAACATACCCTAACCTTACCTAGAGTACAACAGGATTTTTTTTGTTTTTTTGTTTTTCCTGTAATCCTTGTGCTTTCCTTTGAAAATGCTCTTATTTAATGTGCTCTCCATTTTCTGAAGCAAACACTGTGCTTTGATCCATTACATCAACATATAAATCAATCTGCTTCTTAAATCTAACATGTTACAAATGGGATTTTGCTGCCAAGTCAGCACTTCTGACATCCTGTGAACCTGGAATCCTCCACCAGAGAAAATGAATGCCCCGTGCCAGGGCGCTGTGGCCGGCCCTTGATCTGTGCACGCTGCAGCACTTTCAAGGCTTTGAGTACAAGTTGCATCAACTGCTTTCCTAGCCCAGCACTTCCACTTTACTTAATAATTCATTCTTAATAAGAAATCCCATTCTATTAATTTGGCTCAGGAAAAGAGTTTAGCTACCTGAGGATGGAAATTCAACTTGGTTAAAAGTGCTTCTAGTCACTTGGTTGAAAACCTGAAATGGCTTAAAGCAACAAATAAATAGGAACAAACAGAAATCTCATCCTAATGCTGATCAAGGGTCTTTAGGCATCACCCCAGGAAAAGCATCTCCTGGGCCCACCTCAGCCCCATCTCCCTTCACAAAACTGCTCCCCCATCCAAAGCAAACAGGTAATCCATTGCTTCCTCACTAAAGCTACTGCCCCAGGATCTGATTTGGCCCCAGGCTCTGTTGAGAGTGCCTGCCATGGAGGGAGCATCCTTCAGAGAGCAGGGCTTTATCCCGTCCCTGAGGGAGTCTGTTCCCTGGCACAGGAAGTGCTCCCGTGGTCTGGTCCAGGGCCACACGGCTTCAGCTCCCATCACATCACTGAACAAGCAGCGCCTACTTACCGTTGCACAGGAGTGACATCGAGACTGACTCTTCCTCAAAGACACTCCTTTCTAAAAAACGAAGCCAGTAAATGACAAGCTACTCATGGATGTGAAGATCCTGTATTCATTTCTGTCTGCTCAAGTTCTGAATGGCACTTCACGATTTCTAAATTAAAATGACTTAAGTCTGTGTCCACAAACCTATGGCTAAGATTTACTTAATCGAGCAAAGTTTAACAAAATCCATAGTTTCAAGGTTATTGCCCCAATATATTAACTACAAAAGGGAAGACAAATGACTTCACAAGTGGAGACGCTGCTGTGTTTCCAGCAATAATTCACGTTAAGAGGACAGATGAGCAGAGATGCACTGATGGCTGTCCCAAACTGGAGGCTATGGACAAAAAGAACAGATGCAAAGTGGGAACCCAGACAGCATCCTAGAAGAGGACACTGGAGGAAACCTGGAGCCGGATGTGAACAAGCCTGTGAGTCAGTTAACAGCACTGTACCAGCTCTGATAACTGCACGAGGGTTACGTCAGGTGTCAACATGAAGAGAAGCACAGTGTTAACGTATGGGAGAACTCTCTCCAGTATTTCTGCAACTTTTAAAATACTCTAAAATTAGTTCAAAATAAAACAGCTTTGGTTTTTTAAATCCTCTTCCTCCCTTGCCTGAGTCTGACTGTGGCTGCATGGTTTCAATCTGTCAAAAGAAGATGAAACATTTTGGCAGGACAACTAGCAGGTATAATCAAGCAGGCCCAAT